CCCCGGCGCCCTGCCGCGGTTCAGATTCCAAGCCCCCTCCCGGAGCGGGTCCGTGTCCCTCGCCACGGCGGCCTGCAGGAGTCAGCGCGGATGTAGGGCCACGTCCCCATCCCCCCGCACGCCTCTAGCTCGGCCCCAGGCGTCAGCAGGGCCCTCCCTGGGCAGAGCGCAGGGTGGGCGGCTGGACGGAGGGAGGCCTTGGAGCTGCTGGGATCTGGCCTTCACGCCCAGGGTCTCGGGGAGGGAAAGGGGGGGCGGGCGGAGCAGGGATCAGCCCCTCCCCAACTCTCAGCTCCAGGGCCAAGACAGGGCCTGGTGCCAGTGCCCAGAGGCCCCTTCCCCCCACGCTGCTGTGGGTGGTCCGACGGAGGCCGGGGGAGCGGCAGTGGGCCAGGGGGCACCAGGGAACCAGAGGAGGGAGCGTGTTCCCCTGAGCACGGGGAACGAACGCTCCACCCAGCCCCAACACGGAACTCCTCTGCGCTGCAACCCCCGCTGTGCCAAGGCCTGCGACAGGGCCAGGCGGTGCCAGCAAGGCCCATCCACACAGACTGGCTGGTGGATCTGGTGGCTCCCGTCTCCTCCGTGTGCCGTTGGGGAAGGAGGCGGAGCCTGCAGGGCCAGGGGCGGGGCCAGAAGATGCAAACTTGACCCTGTAGCGACAGGTCAGGGAAACTGGGTTGGCTCATTCTTAGAGTGCCCCCGGCTGAGGGCACAGGGCCAGTTAACTGGCTCCACCTCTCAGCCAGGCTCTGGGCACGTGGGGAGGGGCAAACAGTGGCCCCCAGTGGGTTTCCTCGCCAGGCAAGGAGCTGGCCATTGCTGGCACTGGGGAAACGCAGGCGCCTGGCACAGGGTGGGCAAGCGAGACGTTAGGGGCTGGGTCCTAGTGCCCATTGCTACAGCGAACCAGCCCAGCTCTGCCCTGCCAGTCCCTGGCATATCCGTGCACCGGAGCAACTGCTTTCGGGGACGGTGCAGAGGGCAGCCAGCTCCCCCGCTGCAGCCGAGCGCCCCCTCCCCAATCCTGGGGCAGGCCTGCCTCTGGCATTAACCCCTTCCCTCCCAAACCACCTCTGTCTCTCAGCGGAGCCTCTTCCTAGAGCGGGCTCTTTCCAGCCCCCCTGGGCCCCATTGCTGGCGCAAAAGGGGGGCACGTCTACGCCGGTGGGTCCCCCCCTGCAGCCCGGCTCCGTGCCCGCCCCCCCGGGCAGCAGCGCCAGCGCACGTATCCCTGCCCACGGTGGAGTCCGTGCACACCCCAGCCAACACCTCTCCTCCTACTCACGCCTGCCCCTCTGTGCCAGTCCGGGGCTCCTCCCCCGGGTGCCAGCATGCAGGGGTACGACCCAAGGGTGGGGGAGGGGGATCCCTTTCCCTGGATGCCCCCCCCCCCTCCTGCCCCGCCC